CAGAAAAAAAAAAAAAGGGTCTCAAACATGAATCTGTTCAAGCCTCTCTAGAACCAACTACCTGTTTGTAGGAAATAAGGATGACAGAGGAACAATCATCAAAATCCACACTGTGGAAACTACCAGAAAGGTGACCCAGTTTCTTCAACAAATAAGCTGCAAGTGGAGAGAGACGGGAAGAGGATGGGAGAGGGAACTGTATATTAAAAGACTAAAAGTCATTATCCAATCATAATGTATAGCCCTTAGTTAGATTAATTCATTTTAGAAACTTCATATATGAGACAACTGGAAATATATACACTAGAGGCTATGAAGGAATTCTTGATATTATTTAAGAATGAAATGATGCCTGATATTTGCTTCAAAATCAGATAGGAGGAGGAAGGAGATGAGCATGTGAATGGGGCAGGACTGGCCATGTAATTAAGGTTTTAGGTTCAGATAATGGATGCTGTAGAGTCACTTTACCATTCTGACTATTTTTGCGCATGTTGGAAACTAATCTTTTAAAAAACGGATTCTCATAAACGTAATACAGAGCTTGTTAAATTTTATTTCGTTTACCAAATTATCAAATTCTATGAATAATAAGTGTTGCCATTAACAGATATCCCATAGCAGATGAATTGGATTCACTAAAAATTTACATTCAAGATATTTTGTTTTGATTCATCAGTGTACTGAAAATACTACATCCATTAAGCATTCTGTTATGCTACATACTACAAAACCCAGAGTGCCAATCAGTAATCATGAACAGGGTCATGTGTTAGCCCACAGCTGTTTGGTTCTCTCAAGCAAGACAAAGTCATCAATTTCACCTACCAAGTTTGTATAAGCAAGTATAAACCAGTCAACTTTCTATACCTAGTTATTAAAGTATGAGCAATTTTAAGTATCATATCAGCTGACAAGTACACTATTCTCAGTAGTGTACAAGAAATGGCATGAAAAACCATACATCGGTATATTGATTTGCAAAAAATAAAGAACTAAAATACTAAAAAATAAAGTGCTACAACTACTACCAATATTGTGTCATTCACAAAGAGAAGAGGGTATAAATTCTGCTTACTTCGCCCAGCAACTATTTGCCTCTAGCAGCATTTACAAGCTGCTTTGATCTTCATGATTATCAATGCCTGGTGATTTACGCATCTCTTCGACTTTCTCTTACTCTGTCTCCCAAAGGACAAAAGTCATATTCAGTGTGTTAAATGTTCCACGTATTACTGATTTAACTTCACTAACTATAAAAATCCCTTTCAGAAAAAAAAAGGCCTAATATGCATAGGACATGTTTAAGCATATTGTTTGCAAGTCATTTAAATATCTTAATAATATACTGTACCTTACAAGTAGCAGAACAGAACGGGGCTAAATCAAGCATGAGTGGAAAATCTACATGCCTGTTTACTTTGCGAAGACTCAAGCCAGCCTTAAAAAGATAAAGAGAAAAAACTTTTAATGTAACAGAGTTCATCTATATCACTGTTAATTAAAACCAAAAGAGGAATCCTGGAAGTAGTTTTTTCACAGACATAAAAACATGACTAATAGTCCAAAACTGATACACGACTAGGCTTTTTACTAGGTTTCATTAACTGTTACTGCAAAGATCATTCATTTATTTACATGGGCATTTTTACCATAAACAATGTGGGAATAATTACTTTCACTGTGGCTTTTTAATGGTTAAGGAAAAGTAAACTCGATGTGATAGGAGCTAAGCTACTGACACAGAGGCCAGCATGACCATGTACTCAACTGAAGAGTCAGGCGCCTGGTGTTCTGGGCCGACCAATGTCTGGTTAAATCGGCTCTGTGCAACCTCATCTAGATCAAGGCAGAACGTAGATATAAATCGGTAAGTTTAGGGCCTTTTCAGTTCTAAGAGTCAGTGCTATTCATTCATTAACAAGAAAAAAAGCCTGAACACTCAAATCATCTTATCAATAAAAGTAAATGTTATATATTATATAAATAAAAATAAACCTTCATGTCCTTAAATAAACTCTATTTCTTTCTCTATTTTTAATTTCTAAAGGCAGACCTTGAAAAATGTACACTTTGCATTATGTAATGGTAATAAAAACAGCTGATACAAGTCCTGGTAGAAAACTCACAAGCTGCCATGGACTCGGATGGAATGAGAAGATACCTAAATCTGAATTGTTTGGGGAGACAAAAACCTTTCATGACGTCAACAACCAGACTTCTCATTTGCATACCAATCACAAAATTGTACTGTAGATCTGTTGCCTATTTCTTACCTTTTAAATAAAAAATTTTGACTGAAACATATAGCCACTTACACATGTTTTTTTTCAAGTAATCGTTAGAAGGCTTAACATGATATCTGACATAAAATAATGAGGTGATGTCCCAGGAGTAATTATTTAATCTGTATTTAATTTGTTTGCCTATTTTTTCCTCATCCTGGGACCTCTATAAGCACCAACACCCACACTATCTGAGATCATTTAGCTAATTGTCCTCCCCTAACAGTACTTTGCTTTGAGAAATTACTCTGTAACAGGAGAGGGCTTTGTAAAGGGTTTTAATGAAAGATAAATCTCTTTTTCTAGGGATAACTTTTGGAAAATATCTTGCCTTATATTTGGCATATGCAGTCTCCTGCCTTTTTCTTTTTTTCTTTTAACTGAAAGAATGATACGCCTTAAGTATTTTTTCCCATGTCTTTAAAATATAAAGCTGATGTTCTGCACATTGGACAGCTACATTAGGCCTCAGATCTGGCATGATCTGTAACGACTGGGATACACATTTTTGTGTATATCCCTACTTCTTTGTGACAGGTTCTTAAAAGTGGAATTAGTAAAAAAAAGTAATTACTTTTATTCAAAAATTATGTTTTATTCAAAACATCACTTAATGTTCTCGATATATATTATTAAACTACTTTCTATCTTTCTATGTGTTACAAACTTACATCCCCACTGCTGGTACCTGAAAGTACCCATATCTCACTTCATCCTTACCACTAATATATCTTTGCCAACTTGGATGGGTTACAAAAATGAGTCTGTCATTTTATTTTGCATTTGTTTTGCTGGAAAGAACAGATCTTTTTTTTCATGCTTTCTTGGAATTTTTACTTCTTTTATGAACTGTCAATTCATCTTTACCATTTTATTATTAGGGTCTTGATATTTTTCTTGTTGATCTCTAGGCACTCTTTATATATTTATGGTATTAATCATTTGCCATGTTTATGACAAAGATCTCTATCTTGCCTAAGATTTGCCTTTCAGTATTGTGGATGTTTCTGATATACAGTTATAAAGTTACTACAGGAAAAAAGGCTGCCCAGCACATTAAAATACTAAAAGCAGGGACATTGCTTAGAGACCCTGATCTCTATAATTTTCAGTCCCTGGGAATGAAAATGAGGCTTTACTGACATTTTATTCAGCTAGAGAACAAGAAGGGATCAGGCTATCCATAAACATTTCCCTTTAAGGGCATGAATTCTTTTATAAGTTGTTCCTAAATAGGGATGCAAGTGTCAAATATAAAATAA